GCATGGCGGGATGCTTTTTTATACGACTGCAACTGCTCGCTCAGAAGCTTCAGAGTGCCATCAATACCGCTCGTCACCGTCGTCTCGCTCGAACGTTTCTATAATATACCTTTCAATAAAGACAGTAACACATCTATGATCACTGCTAAATCTTTCGTGTGCTACTTCAGATAGGGCGATAACACAGTGCAAATTTCTATGTAATCACTGAACGGCTAGGAACTGTGCTGAAGAAGTATATGCAATATCCGCTAAGGTATACTCAACAGAACACATAACAGTATACTCAACGGAATACCGACAGGAATACAGCGAAGCCGATGTCTGCAAATTGATATCCGCATCAACTTAAACAGCGCCTATGGTATACTCCACACTGGCAAGGCACAGTGGTTATGAACCACATCATCAGCACAGGGGCAACTGTAGACGCTATTATCCCTTTGAGAGTAAGTGCAACATCCTTGAGATAGAACATGAAAACAAAAGCTTGCATTATAAACAATTTCATAGCAAGAACAATGAAACAAGGCTCCCACACATCTTGGATGCAGTCATCCTCAAGAAACGGGGTTAAAAGGAAGATGCGAATCATAATATTTTAACGTTGAAGACACGCTGCACACTGACTGACCTTGATTCGAAGAAAAAACTCTTTACGGACTGCATATTCAGAGAATCGACAGATATTATGTCAATAAAGACCTGGAAGTAAAATTAACTTTCCAGGGTTCACGCAGAGGACGAAGGTTTAAAAACTGTTATTCGAAATGAAGCTGCCCACGACCTGAAATACCCTGAACACCGTACACATTCTTACTATTCCCGCTAATGATTCGCAAGAACTAGAGAAATGAACCGCAAGGCCATGTAAATACATGCAGTTAATTAGCCAAAGTTTTATATTGTGCATTTATCTCAACAGGCGTTTAATCAGCCACCATTTCATCTCCAACGGACTCGAGTAAATACAGGACAAATCGAAGAGCGCACTTTTACTGTTCAAAATAGGAGAAACCACAAACTGTTCACGTTTTTCCCGAAATCTGAACATTCATAAATCAGCAGTCACAAAGACACCTCACAAAATACACAAAAATGTTTTAACAGCTCTTAACGGTTGAGTCTCAGCGTCGAAGTCGTCCAGAATGGGCGACGACCAAAGCATAATATAGAATAACAGAACGAAGCAAGGCAAAGTGTGCTTTTCTGGGCAGCGAC